GGTTGGGGAAAAGTTCTTTCTTTAATTGGCTTTTTGGTCATCTTGTTAACTGGTTCTAGTTTTTAGTTGCTACCATAACCCGACGCTTCTTGGAACGCCTTCTTTTGGCGTTGATACCTTTGCCATTGTGTTCTAGTCATATGGTTCTTCCCATGTAATTTGAATTATATGCATGTTTCTTGGTGACCTGGGGGTTATTTAGCACCAACACTTATCCATCCATTTGGTTGGTGTTTTTTCTGTTCTGGGGGTGTACCCACTCCCTGACTAGCGCCTTCGAAGAAGGTGTATAGGTCTTACTTCGACCTCCTTTGTAACTTCTGGCCATATTTTGTGACCTATAGGGGACACCTCTTTTGTTGAAAGAGTAATTTGGCCTCGATTGGGGCCATTTTCCCCCCTTAGAGGATTGGGGCTTAATTTTCTCAAGGCCTTTAGTAGCCTTTTTTTCGAACACATCGTTGCACCTAGGGCATAACATAACCTCTTAGTCTTTTAGTTCACACCTATTGAGGAAATCTATATGTTCCTCATTAGCACGGGGATAAACTTCTTTGACTTTCTCGATATATTCTGATTCAAAAACTTCCATTATTACATCGGAGCTTTCAGTAGCCACGACCATTAAACATTCGAGCGTCTCAGTGTAGTTTTCCTCTTTTATATGTAGAGGGTCAGAGTCCACTTGCATTGGAGCCTTAACCTTATCAGCAAACTTTAGCCTTTCTTCATTCATCGCTCTTTGCACCAAATCTCTGAAAAGAACACAAAAGTAAGTCTTATAACCAAGAAAATTATGAAACTTGCATAATCCTCTTTTCTTTCATTGCTCTAAAGGGGGCATTTTCAATCCCTTAGGGACTATGATTTGGCCATAAGAAACGAAGAGGTCAAAAATTTCCTCACACTAAGTTACTCTGAAGTGTATGTTTTAACAAAAAATTGTCATTTTTTGGTTCGACTGGATTTTTTTCGTCGGATGGTTTCAATAATTTACAGACGTAGGGAGGTTCCGGCTTAAATTCTTCCACATTTACAATGTTCTCTTTCATCTTCCACTATATAGGCAACTTTTTCTTTTTTATGAAATTTGTTCGACCTAACATTTTCTTCCTTTAAGCGTTCAACCTCTCGAACCATATCTTCCAACTGAGCCATATTTATTAGATATTGGGTATCTAGTTTCTTTCAAATGGAATAATCTAGACCCCTTGCAGCCATTTCGATCCTTTTGTGTTCAGGAACTTGGGTAAATCACATTACCTTCGATAATCTGAACCTATTTAAATAATCATCAATCGACTCAAGCGCTTTGTGCCTAACACTAGCTAATTCTTTGAGGCTAATCTTTGACTGACCATATAGAAATTTTCATGGAACACTCTCTACAATTGATTCTAATTATGTATGGATTGAGGGGTAATTATAGTGAAACATTTGAAGGCATTTTTTGTTAGAGAGTTTGGGAAATATCTCATTTTCAAATTTTTATTATTCGCTCTATTGTTTGCCTCAGTTTGGTATCAGGAAATATGTTCGACAGTTGACTCATTTGTGTCTCCTACAAACTTAGTGAATTTAAGGACTTTCCAGTCCTTGGGGAGTTCAGTTTACAATACATACTCGAACAGAAGAGACACAAAATTTGGCCTATGTAGTCCTACACTCAGCCTATTTTGGGCTAGAATGTTCTCGACCATGTGGGCTAAATTATTTTCCCCTAGTTTATCTTGTCGAACATTCCTAACTACCTCCTTAGCATCATGGTCCCTATGTACCAAAACCATTATTGGGTTACTCTGACCTATATGTTCTTCTTCCCCTTTTGTGCAAGAGATTCGACGGGTCACAAACATATCTGTTGTCGTTTCCCTTGATTAATAGAGACATATCTATTATTAGGCATCTCTACTGGTCTAGCTTGCATAATTTGGGGAATTGGATGTGATTGGGTTTGAGAGGTTCCAAAAAAATCAGCTATTTGACCCATTTGATTAGCCAATAATTGGTAACTTTAGTTAGTATTCTAAATCAGGGGATTGAACATTGTACCAATTTGTTGGGTAAGCATATGAACCATCTCGTGGTTACTTTCATCCATTTGTTGTCTTATGAACATCATGGAATTTGTAGTTAAAGTAGGCATATTTTAAGGGGTAAATTCAACCCATCCTGATTGTGTCATTTGATCAGGGTTACTGATACCAGACCTTGTTGCCACATACAAATTTAAACGGGTGCTATCTTTACATTGTTATCTGCAAACATTGATGTGTGACTCTATAATCCTGCCATCATCGTGGTCGACATATCATAAGGAAAATCGTTAGAGACTTGTAGTACTGTAAGACTTGGAGCATAAGAAGGCCTAGGGTCTCCTATAGCATCTTGTGTAACCCTGGAAGTGATTAGAATGCTTGTTTCCATGGTCAACGCAACCACCACTCTTGGTAATGATGTCACACTCGTTATTGGGGTAAGGAAAAGTTCATTGGTTACTGGGGGATTTGAAGTCCTTGTCCCTTCCACCGTCGATCTGACACGCTGTTTAATGTCTGCGATGTCATTTTGTGAAAGTGAAGTGTTCCTAGGACAAACCATTTCGACTATAATTCTACAACTTCTCAAACGCATACAAGTCCAGACACATAAAATATGTTTTCAACAAAAAGAATTGACAACAAAAACAACAGCACACCACTTTTTTAATAAAAAGAAAAGAAATTACACAATGGTCCTACTGAATGTGGCAATTTGTTCATTGATGATTTTGGTAAACAGTCACTTAGTTTTAAATTATTGCTTGAAGGACCAAAGTAGTAAATTCTTGGGCACAATGTGATTTTTTTTTTGAAAAAATATGTGCATTAAAGTTGTCAACAATTAAGTATCAATTATGTTGAAAAAATGGTTAAGTAAAAGTACAAGTAAAAGTTTAAAGGGAACAACACCTCGATTGGGCCAAATTGATAGTTTGAACAGAAAGAAATAAAAAAATTTAGAAAGAATGGAAAAACTTTATTTACATAAGTAAAATTGGTAGGCAGTTTCACACATTTCCTTCATAGACTCGTTTCTCGCTTATGTATGGGTACTTTGAGTGTATATTGAAGTTTATAATGATTTTGTCATTCTTACATGTTTTCGACATTCAACTAACTTCCATTTGACACGTCATTCTTGCATGTCTCACTTGCCTCCGATCAATCTCCATGTGTCTCTGATGCTTTAGATAAGATCATAAAACGGTTACTTGGTCTGATTTTGAAATTTCTTCAGTCGAATCTCCTTCAATTTGTCGAACTAGTCATCTCTAAACTTTTGGAAATTTTGCTAAGTACGAGGCCAAAGCCTTAGTAAGTCGAACATTGACATTACGTCTTAAACTTTCCTCTAGTCGAAGAATACAAAATCTTACCCTACACTTGTGCAGAAGTTTTGACAACTTCCTTTTATCGAGTTAGCATAGTGAAATTTCTTGGTTAACAGAATGGCATGACTTTGGCTTTTGCTAACTTTTTACTTTGACTTTTACATGCAATGTAAAAACTTATGAATGCGTGAATACATGACTATGATATAAAAATTGAATGAAAAAACACAAAAATGAAATGATATCATTATGGGAATATAACTAGGACAAATAGAATTTTGAATGACCTAAAAAGTTTACTTTTATTTGATGGAATACCTATAAAGTATGGATGAATGATTCAACTAATTATCTTGGTAAATTAAAGTGCAAATGTTTTCATGGATGAATGAGAAGAACAAAAATTTGGGACAAAATTAAGATATGATATCGTCTTTTTAACAAAATCACATATCATACCAGAATGAACATATATTAACATGTTGCAATTGTCTACTTCAAATGTGTGAATACTGAAAAATCTCCTAGAATACTCGAAGAGTTGTGAAACTTGAGTATCCTTCGCTCTCGATTGACAATGAAGAAAAGATTCAGTCCAACAAATTTGAGCTGAAGACAAATAAAGATTTAAAGATTGTAGGGAGTACATTTCACGTTTACAAAACAAAAGGCTTGATCGAGTTAGATGCGAAGATTGCGAGATCGGCCTATGTATTGTTCGATTTTCTTTAACGATTATCTATGTAATGCTTAATTTCCGAATTCTATGAATAGTTTTAGTTTTTCACTAATGTGGAAAAAACAATTCCCTTACCTAAATCAAGCATGAAGTTTGCAAGAATAATTGCAGGCTTAAAAGAATAGTGCGTTATTGAGTACTTAGGTTCAAGGAATTTTAGAACTCTTGTAAACATTTCAAGAAACAATTGGTGAGCAAAAAAACTCCAATACTATGAGTATTCAGATTGGAGTGAGTCGTTAGAGACTCGGATTCCACTAAACTAATTTACAATTGCTAGTAACCCTCATTCTATTTAGTTTGCAACTGAACTAGTTTAAAATTGCTAGTCTTGATCCCTTAACCCTTAATCTCTTCGGTTGTGTAATCTTGAAATTTTTACTTGTAAACGTGAAGCAGAAATTTATAGAACTCACAACATTGAAAGTGCGAAAGTGCAAAACTAACACACTCATCTAACCTTATAAGAACACACCCTGTTGATTTGTGTTGATTTTATTCTCAAATCCATATATAGACACACCTTTGATTCCATTATCTTGGAAATCACTCACTCTTACCCTTATATACCCATGAACTTAGTTATAGCACAAGCAACCCAATAGTCTTCTCTATCTCCAGTCATAAACCAGTCTCAGAGTCATTCATCTCCTTGTTAATTGAACATAAAAAAACCCATCACAAGTTGAAAAACAAAAACTAGAGACCAAGGCATAAAGAAAAGGGCAACCACTCATATAGTTGTTGAGACATATAAAACAAGGGCAATATTCAAAACATAATAGTTATGTGAGTCATACACGATACACATCCCATATATAAGAAGTGCAAGTTTAGGGTCCAAGCAGGCCTATAATGCTACCGTGACCAAGCTTGATATCAATATTACTAGGAATTATCTGCTTCCATGTGATTAAGTTGGAAAGTCCCTTCGTTATTCTTGTGCACCACTACCTTGAACTTCTCTTGTTTTTCTCCTCGCTTGAGCTTGAGAAGCAAATCAAACTTAGCAACATCATCGTTGACCTGCACAACAATTTAGACATCCATCAGTGCTTATAAACCAAGAAGCTTGTAAGCAGCCGAAATGCCCTGGCGTGCTTTTCACACAAACTAGAAATTGAAAGGCCTGTTTGGTTTTGAGTAAATGTTTCTATTTTTATTTGCTGTTTTCACTTTTAAACTTTAATTAAAGAACATAATCTTATGTTCACTTCGTTTTCTATTTTTAATGTTGTATAATAGGTGAAAACAACTTTTTGTTGTTTCAAGTTATCAGCTAATTTTCACTCTCTTATTTATAAAACTTGAAACAAAAGAGAACTTCTAATATCATCTTTTTTCTGCTGAAAATATAAACATCAAATTATAACCACAACTCAACTCAACCATGTGGCATTTCAAAACGAGTTTTGCAAACAAACAACACAAAATAAGGCACTGACCTCAGCCTTCGCATCAGAAACCTCATGGAGTTCATAGGGCACTAATGAATTGGACCTCTGCTGGATGGTCTTAAGAGCATGATCTGCTGCATCCTGAACTTGAGGGTCTTCTGTTGGCACAGACTGCCACCCCGGCTTGGGGCCATCTGATATCAAAGGCAAAACAGCAGAAGATAGTATTAGCAAACACCTGAAGTTCAATTGTTCAACAAGAAATACAAGAGAAATGAAGTAATCATAAGCAATGTCAAGAAAGTTTATACATCAATTATCAGCTAATAACTACTATGATTATAATGGCGAGATTGTCGTTTTTACTGGCAAAATAACTGAAACATTAACGGTCTGTTTGTTTAGAGTAAATTAAAGACGAGAGACGTGTAAGAGAGAGAGTAAGATGAGAAATGTACTTTTTCTTCTGCTTGGTTCATCAAAGAAATAGAGGCGGCCACACATCAATTATGGTGGCCCCCATACACTTTTGCTCTCTCCGCACATATGAGAAAAGAAACCGTAGCAACTATTTCAAATTGTTTTCCACACATACCCTTTATGTTATAGATATCCATCAATGCAGATATCCATCAATGCAGGTAAATAATTTGAATTTATATGATAATGTATAATAATACTTATTCTTTTGACTTTTGAATCTATAGCGCTAATCAATGATAAAAATAAAATTATAAATTAAACTAATTTATAAATTAAAATAAAACGTATTAATGATTTAATATATCTATATATTTGTACCCAAAAAATATTAATGGTTTACTCTAACTAACTTAAAAAATTAATTTTTTAAAATACTTATTAATTTTTAATTAAATTAAAAGTAAATGTTTAAATTTACATTATTAGAATTAAAAAATGTATTTTAAATAATAAATATGTTTGTATTAAATTTTTAATTTAAGGGTATTTTTGTACTTTCAAAAATAATTACACTTCTCTCTCTTCTATTTCTTTTATACTTTTATAAAAAACAACCTATCAAATCTACTCTATTTCTCACATCTTTCTTTCTTCGCACACCCTCTCTCATCTATTTCTCTCCTCATTTTCTCTCCTTAACCAAGCATACCCTAAAGGAAGTTCTGGATAAAAATCAAGCCTCATTTCAACAAGCCTTTTTCTATAATTTCCAATGGAAATTGTCCATAGATAATTACCAGCGCACACAAATCCAAAGTAAAGGAAACCCTATAGATTTGTTGGTGCAAGGTGATGAAATTGAGGAAGAAGAGAGAAAATGATGAATGATAAAAAATTGCTACAAATGATTGAAAAGGGATTGTTGTTAATTAATGAAACCTAGTACACCTATTTATACACAAAAATAGTAAAAATAAAAATGTCACATAGACCCTAAGAGAGAATATTTCAAATATAGCAAATACTAAATTACCCCTTTAATACCATCCCTTAATTTAGTATCTATCAGAAACTAACAACACCAATTTCATTCCTCAAATGAAGAAATTGGTCTGTTTTTATTGTCTTCGTCAGAACATCTCCCAGTTGTTTCTGAGTGTACAGGACTTCTAACACTCCTTTCTGCACTTGACTTCTCAGAAAATGATACTTCGTCTCAATATGCTTGCTTCTTCCATGCAACACTGGATTATTGGCAAGATTGATTGCAGACTTGTTATCAATCAACAGCTTCAGAGGTTTCTCTATCTCAATCTTCAAATCCTCCAGAAGATTCAGAAGCCAAACAACTTGACATGCAGCTACAGCACCTGCAATGTACTCAGCTTCACACGTTGACAGAGCCACAGCAGACTGTTTCTTGGAACTCCAAGAAATTAAACCTCCCAGAAACTTGAACAAGTAACCAGAAATACTTCTGTCAACTTTATCTCCACACCAGTCAGAATCAGAATAACTCACTAATTCTGGTTGTCTTTCTTCCAGAAGAAAATAACACTCCATATTTCGAAGTTCCCTTGATATACCTCAGAATCCTGACAGCAGCTTGGTAATGAGACCACTTTGATTTACTCATGAATCTGCTAACAATTCCAACTGCATAACAAATGTCAGGTCTGGTATTGCACAAGTACCTAAGAGAACCAACCAACTGTTTGAAGGTCATAGCATCCACAGAATCACCATCAGAATCAGAATCCAATTTATGATTGGTTTCTGATGGTGTCACAGCAACTTTACAATTCTGCAGCTTAAATCTCTTCAGAAGTTCAAGTTCATACTTCAGCAGAGGTAGAATGATACCCTTCTTTGAGTACAGAATCTTCATTCCTAGAAAATATACCATATTTCCCAGATCTGTCATCTCAAATTCATTCATCAAAACTTCTTTGAACTTGATTATATCTTCTAGACAATTTCCTGTTAGCAATATGTCAACAACATATAGACACACTAGAATCATATTGCCACCAGAATGCTGCACATACACGTCATATTCCATCTCACATTTCTGAAACCTTTGCCTCTTGAAAAACGAATCAATTTTCAAATTCCAAGCTCTTGGCGCTTGTTTCAGTCCATACAAGACTTTATGTAACTTGTATATCATCCCTTCCTGATTCTTTTTCACAAATCCAGGAGGTTGTGACACATATACCTCTTCTTGTAACGGACCATTCAGAAATGCAGACTTCACATCCAGATGTATCAAAGGCCAATTTTTGTTTGCAGCTAAAGCAATCACCAGTCTGATTGTTTCATGTCTAGCTACAGGCGCAAACACCTCAAAGTAATCTAGCCCAGGTTTCTGAAGAAAACCTCTAGCCACTAGTCTCGCTTTGTGTTTGCCAATTGATCCATCTGGCTTAAGCTTCACCTTGAAAACCCATTTGACGCTGATGGCTTTCTTCTTTTCTGAAAGCTTTGTCAACTCCCAAGTTTTGTTTCTTTCAATAGCCTCAAGTTCTTCCTTCATGGCATTCAACCATACTTTCTTCTTGAGAGCTTCTTTAATACCTACTGGTTCAAAATCTACTAACATGGTACACTGAATGACTTCTCCTTCAGAATCTACTTCAGTATCATGCAATATGCTAAAATCAGCAAACCTACTTGGTATTTGTCTGATTCTCTGTGACCTCTGAACTTGTTCTGAAGCTTCTCCAGAACTTGGAACAGTGCTAGCTTCTGGACCTTGTCCATAACTACTTCCTTCAGAATTACCACCTTCAGAGTTACTTCTGGAAACTTGTCCTCCAGAGCCTATGTCTTCAGAGTTTTCCCTTCCAGAAACATAATCAGCACCAGATTCTGGATCATCATCAGAATCTGGATCAGAATCAGATCCACTATCAGAATCTCCCTGAGATTCTGACTCATATTCAGAGTCTTCAGAATCAGATTGATCTTCTGACTCTGACTCGTCTTCAGAACTTTCTGAAGAATTTTCAGAAACTAACTCTGGTGTTGCCGCTACACCAGAGTCTGATTGAGGCTTGTTCCAATCTCATGTTTGACTCTTTCAAAATAACGTTTCTGTTGATTTCAACTTTGTTGGTTTCTGGACAATAAAGCTTATAGGCACTGTACTGTGGTGCAAGGTGATGAAATTGAAGAAGAAGAGAAAATGATGAATGACAAAAAGTTGCTACAAATGATTGAAAAGGGATTGTTGTTAATTAATGAAACCTAATACACCTATTTATACACAAAAATAGTAAAAATAAGAATGTCACATAGACCCTAAAAGAGAATATTCCAAATATAGCAAATACTAAATTACCCCTTTAATAAGATTCACATCTTGATGTAGCACTCAATATGTGATCATACATTCCAATAAGGCCTGAAACCATCAAATTTTTAATCTTTTCCGACTAAGGAATTCTTAAATACTTCAAAGGATAAAGATTCAATTTAATAGTAACACTCCATCTTCCATTGATTGGTCCTCACCACTTACCTCACTTATTAAAACCAACACTAACTTCAAATTTACTTTAAGGCAGAAGATCTATGATGCTGCACAACAATGCACATATTTTAAGGTTGTTTTGCATAAACTAAGAAATAGATTTGATTAATAAGCAAATTTCAAATATACTCTTACCTTTCATTGGTCCACTCACTCATATATTCTCTTTTTTTCATTAATTTAAATGTAAATAAACTAGTAAAAATAACCTTGAAATTTGAAAATGAGTGATAAAAAGAAGAAGAAAAAAAATATTTGCTTCAAAATCGACAATTAAAAAGGTACGGAGGGAATACTTGAATACACCCCTTCAAATACACTCAATGTTTTAAATAATGCAAAGGCTTTCTCAGTTAGTCCAGGTGTTGTAACAGATTGCTTCTGGTGTGAATTAACCGCAATTTGTCTTTTAATCATAAAAGTGACCATATCGTACCTTCCGATACCATTTTGTCGCATTTTTGCATAAAAACAGTTCTTAAAATAGTTTGTTAGTGATATCAAGACAAAAACAGTCTACCCCAAATGGCTTACCCTTTTTGACACCAAGATCAGCAGAAGTAAATGAAGGTCCGTCACCATCACCAGCATGCTTGAACTCATGAAGTTGTTTAAAATTCAACCAGGGTTTAACCCACACTTGAGCGTTATAGATCTTCTTCTCACCCGCATCAACAACCTCAATAGTAAGGTGATGCATTGTACCAGCAACAATCTGTTCCTGTGCTTTCACCACTCTTCCAAACTCCAGAAGTGAATTCTTCAAAATCATTCAACATAATTCAATAGTTTTAGTTCACATGAAATTGACCAAAAAAATTACCAAATCTCAGCAATCGAATAAACACGTACGTTAGAAATCGTTTCTAACGGAGGAAATGAAAGAGAGAGTGAGTGAGAAACCTGTTTGGCGTTGTGTTGATCGACGGCGAATCGAGCAAGGGATTCAACTTCGAGGGAGTTTTGAGAATTTGGGGAATCGTGGATGCCTCCGGTAATGGGTTCCATTTGGGCGTGATCGAAATCGGAGCAGTCGCTGGAAGATTGTAGAACGGTGAAGATTGAGAAGAAGAGGAAGAATAAGGAAAGAATTGAAGAAGAAGTTGCTCTCATTCGGTCTGATTGAAGAAAACAATTGGGAACGCTTTGATTTAACGCAGATTTGGAAACAGTCTCCGTGTTTGCTTAATGAGGAAGCCACGCATTCCACACGCTATCTTATGTGGACGGTTACTATTCATATCATTTCACATCGATTAAAAAACAATAATAAATAAATGAGAGAATAGTAACATTATAAATTATTTTGATTAATTATAGATACATTTAAATTTTTTTATTTGTTGTGTGATAGTGTAATACGGTGGAGATAACTGATTTTTGGGTTTTGCGTTTTATCGCAAATATTGCGGATAGCAATAGTCGTCACTGACTTTTCTTTTATCCAATAAAGGAAAGGGTGAAAAGAACAGGAAATACCTTTTGAGAATTTTTTGACTAAGGGGGATAGGTTATGAAAAGAGAAAGTGTTAGCACCATTTTCATCCGTAGTTATCTACGGACTCTTAATCGCTAGCTCACTTTTTGGAAAATATTTTGTGTTTGTGTATGTTTGAAAATATTTTGAAAAATGCCTAAGTGCGACAATTTTGTAATGATTCTCGTATCGTTGAGAATGTATATAAAATGTTTGTTTTGAAAATATTTGTGAAAGAAAGTGTTATTTTGTGAAAAGAGGTTTTGTTTTGAAAAGTTTGTGAGCAAGCGACTACGAGCGTTCTACCTACTCAAAGAAGTCTTTGTTATTTTCTTCCTCCTTTAGATAGAGATACCTGTACCATTAGTTAGTAGAAAACTCTATCGTTGGATGTGAGGGACATGCATGAGTCATCATACAGTCATAAAAGACAACTCGTATGACGCTTTAGCAATTGTCGTAAGGGACTAAGATCGTTTACTGAAGGCAGCATTGAAGGGTCATCGAGGGACTACGATCTTTTAACTAAGGGTCTTCGCTAAAGCATCTTACGTTCGAGGGACATGATTGTTTTTATCCGAGGCAACAAGTGAGACTATCCTAGAGGTGTGTGTGCAAAGTGATTGGTTTCAATTATTTTTGTCTTGGATTTATGGTTATCTAACGTTTGTCTTTTACGTCTTGCCATGCACGCCTAATTAATCTAACAGTTAAATATATACAAGTGCGGAAAAAATACGGGAAATAAATCTACGCTATTACATCGCTTTGGGGATGGGGAGTACAAACCATATATTGGGGAGAAAAAGCAGTAAACCCTAATTAAAGCTATTACAGACCATTGAGCAGTTACAATAATTATAAAAAATATTAAGGCGAAAGATAAAGAGCGCAAAGATGGTGAAAAGGGAAAAATGTTTAGAACCCTAAAAAAATATTCTAAGTATTTAGAAAATATTTTTGGTGTTTTATTTAGAAAAATATTTTCTAGTGTAAGATAATAATAAAATCTAATTCTAATTATTTTATAAATTAATTAATAAAATAAAGCAAAATGATTAAATTAAATTAATTTTTATTTATGAAAATTAAATTAATTAATTAAAATTTAAATCTATTTTTTATGATTTTATGATTTTATAAAAAATAATTAAAAAATAATAATTAATTAAAACAAGAAAAAAGAAATTAAAAGGCCCTGATGTTGCAAAAGGAAAAGTGGAGGTATGGAAAAGTAAAATATCTAGGCCCAAATTCAAAAGTCCAGGCGCATGTGAGATTCAGTGTGGATAACTTAATGGGATGCACTGTGGGGAAAATCTCCAGTAGCATCAGATATGAATTGATTGAGATCAAGTGGTTGAGGGCTGAAGATGCATGGTATGCATGTTGGGTTTGTTCATACTGAATCTGCAAGAAATATGTGGGAAAAAACAAAAGAGTACCACTGGGGCTCGAACTCATGTCCCTAAGGTTAAGGCGCACTTGTTTTTACCACTAGGGTGGCAGTTTCATTCGGTTATGAAACAGCGTCCAATAAATATATTATAAACTCATTTTCAAAAAATGGAATTCCACTTCTTCTTCTTCCTCGCGCCAGACAACAACAACAATATTTTTTATTTTTCCAAAAGCTTCATTTCTCAATCATTTTAAAAACTTCCAAAACCAAACTTGCTTGAAATTTAATCACGAATTCAACCATATAATCTACTCAAGCTAAAACTCAAAGATTAAAGAGAATTTTTGTTGGTACCAAAAATGAACTCTAACGGTTTAGAGTTAAAATTCTCATCACACAAGAAATATAAATGAAAACTAATTACATGGTTAGCTTCAAGGTATTGATATCTACATCTTTTATTAAGAAACCAAACACAAATGATGCATGTATATGGATATCACAGTGTGGAAAACTCACCTCTTGAAGAAAAATCCAATGCCCTTTACACGACTTCCAAAAGCAAGGTGATGATGAATTAAGCTTGCTGGAACCTTCCTTGAGCTAATGGGATAATTACTTTACTTTGAAAGTTGCTGAATCAATCCAACCAAATCAATGTGCAAGATTCGAATATGAAGTTTAGAGGATGATGAAGATGGTGTTACAAAAGTGTAACATGTGTTTGGATGTGTTGTATGTGATGTATGTAAGGTGTATGGATGGTTAGTTTGCACATATATTGCAAGGTTTGAGGGATTCGAAGAAATGAACTTCAAAGCTCAAAAATGGAGTTTTATGGCAATTCTGACTTTGAGAGTGTATGAGAGGTTTAGAGGGATTGAATGCGTCCCCTATGCAGTGTGTTATGCTCTCTATTTATAGGAAATGTTTTAGAGGATGAGAGGACTTAGTTTACAAGTTATCAAGTTTTGGCTTGGTTGAGATGTAACTTGTGATTTCTTGAGAAATCAAAGTTCTAATGCATAGTATCATGGCTTATTGAGTGGTTAGACACTTTAAACATGTTCTTTGATCTTTTAGGTTGAGTGTATGCAGAGGAAATAAGTGAGAGGCTCAAGGAGAATTGACAATTGCATAAAGCATGCTTTATGGGAATGAAAGTGTGATCTTTTTCCCTTTAATGGCAAAATGGATTAGATAATGCTTAAATCAAAAGGACCATAACTCAAAAGCTTATGCAATCTTCTGAATAGAGATGGATTTACAAGTCAATGGACCTAAAAAGTGATATTATAAGGTGTAATACGGTGGGAGAACTGACTTAGGTGTTTTGCGTTTTGTCGTAATTGTTGCGGATAGCAAGAGTCGCGACCGACTTTTCTTTTATCTAATAAAGGGAAGGGTGAAAAGAACAAGAAAGAACTTTTGAGAATTTTCTTGAGTCGGGGGGTAGGTTATGAAAAGGGAAAGTGTTAGCACCCTTTTCATCTGTAGTTATCTACTGGCTATTAGTTGCTAGCTCACTTTGAAAATGCTTTGTAAATGTGCTTGTGATTATTTGAAAGTATTTTTGAAAAGTGTCTTCGTTTAGGCGAACTTTGTAATGATTCTCGTCTCTATAAGAATGTATACAAAGTGTTTAATTTTTAAAATATTTCATTGAAAGTGTTGGTGTGTTTGAAATATGTTTTGTTTTGAAATATTTGTGAGCAAGCGACTACGAGCGTTCTACCTACTCAAAAGAAAGTCTTTGTTCTTTTCCTCCTCCTTTAGATAGTGTTATCTTAGCATTGGATGTGAAGGGACATGCGTGAGTCATCGTACAGTCATAGAAGGCAACATTGTAAGATACCTTAGCAATTTGTCGTAAGGCTCTAAGATTGTTTACCAAAGGCAACATCGAAGGGTCATCGAGGGACTACGATCTTGTAATCGAGGGTCTTTGTTAAAGTATCCCACATTCGAGGGGCATGACTATTTCAATATAAGGCAACAAGTGTGGGTTAACCCTAGAGGTACATGAGTGCAAAGTATATTGTTTTCATGCATTTGTCTTGAATTATGGTTATCTATTTTGTTTGATTTTAAGTCTTGCCATACAAACCCTAATTACTAAAGAGAATATGGAAAGCGATAAATTGCAGAATTTAAATATCCTACGCTATTACATCACTTTAGGTGATGGGGGTACAAATTTATAAATTGGGATGACAAATAAAATAAATCCTAAATTATCTATTACGAGGCTTTGACAATTGCATAATTGTAGTGCAAAATGATAAAATGAACAAAAAATGAAAAGATAAAGAAAAGAGAAAAGAAAATTGTTTTTGTTGTTTTTATAAAAAGGTTTTAATTAATATAATTGATTTTGAAAAGAAATTAATTAATTAGAACTCTAAATTCTAAGTTAATTAAAAGAAAACTTAAATAAAACCTAAGCCTAGTTTAATTTTAATTGATTAAGATAGAAAATGTTTTTTAGGTTTTTTTTATTATTTATAAATAAAAGTTTTTAGTCTAATTGTTTAATAATAAAAAAAATATTTTTATATTTTTTTATTAAATAAAAATAATAATAATAATAAATGAGAAGAAAAGAAAAGAAAATATAAATATAAATTAAAAAAAAGTCAGGAGGTTTGAAAAGAAATGGGTGTGAAAAGTAACATTTTTGGTTAGGCCCAAGTTTTGTTTGTGATATCAGAAAATAAAAAAAAAATAATTAAAAAAATGTAATGAGTTGGTACATTTTTAGTAAGAGAGGGGGTGAACTAGGGTAAAATGAAATAAAGCCCAATCAAGGGAGGCCCAGCGCGCAGTCAAACAAAAAAGGAATAAAGAAAATGTTAGGAAAAAATCACGAAAGGTGTCGATGGGGCTCGAACCCGGGACCCTCCATAGTAATGCCTTACACGCGTGCCTTCTGCCACTGGGGTGGCTGTTTCATCCGTTATTGAAACAACTTGTAATAAATATAAGAAAAACTCGGCCCTAGTATTTTGAACTTCATCTTCAACCTTGTGCGCGTATCAGGATCAACAACACCATTGTTCAAATTTGTAACTTCCTCATTTCTCAACTAAATCAGAAAATGTAAACATGAAAGTTATTGCATTTTTCACC